CGATCTTCAGGTAGAGGACCGAGGCGATCTTTCAAAGAAATTCTGGATTTGGTGAGATCCACGCTACTACACGGCTCCGTCGGAGGTGCGGGGACAGGGGAAACAGGATCTGGAGTTAGAGAAGGCCAGATGGTAACTTCGTTCACTTTTGCTTTAAGCGTTGGTTTTGCCTTCGGCACCTACACTTATTTGCGCTTGGGTGATTTCTTAACTGTTTCTTCCTTCTGCATCTCTTTCGTTTTCTGCAAAAGGACTCGGGCATGCGTGAGCAATGCGCGACGCTTCTTGATTCGCTCCTCGAGGGTAGAGCGGGTCCTCTTGACGCGAACCCATTCATTCGTCTCTACCTTGGAGGAGGGGTTGGTGGCTCGTCGTTGCTGTTCTTGGCGCTGCCTAGATTTCAGATCCATATTATAGCGGATCCCGTCCATTGGCTCCAAAGCCTTGGTTAATTGTCAATTGTCACGCAAGGCGTTGATGCCGTCTTTAGCGTTCCCTCTTCGACAAAGTTGGAGCGCCTTCATCAGTTATCTTCATGGTGGAGGAGAAGTCCGGATCTACAGCTTTGACCTCTTTGGACGTCGTAGAGGCGTCGTGGGGCGTGGGTGCAGCGGCGGCGAGGGGATCCTTGATCTTCAAGCCTGAAGTCCCGTGAGTGCTTCTGGAAGAGGAGACCTTCCTACGCCTACTTGGAGAGGCGGATCTGGGGGAGAAGGAAGAGAGGTACTCTTCAAACTTTTGCTGATCGAATTCGTATTCGATCTCTTCATTCATCCGGATCTTGATTGCCGGTTGCGTCACGACAGCCTCGGCAGCGAGACTGTTGGCTCCTACTGTGGTCGCCAGTTTATTTTCGCTGAAAGTTACCTTCATTGCTAAATTCATTATAATTTTTATTGTTTACAAAGAATTCAAATACTCAACAAAAGAAAGAAATAAAGGGTTACAACTCTCTCGAAAATAACACAAGATCCGTTCGTCGTCTCTTGCTTGCGTAGGCTTTTGGCCGGTGATGGGGATGTCGATATCCGTGGACTACCTGACAATCAGATCAGATTCAATACTCTGTCGATTCGTGAAGGAATCTAAAAGCAGAAGCGCTTATCTCGACAATGGCGAGATAATTGCTCTTCTTAAGATTACCGCAACGGGATAATCCTAAGGAACGGACACGGATGATGTAGATCTGAAGAACCTTTCTCTCCTGTGCTGAAGAACTCGATCAATCTTCAATCCGACAGGGCTTCACCAATTCTCCAAAATTCTAGATCTCAAAAAAATAAAGTCCTGGGGCTGTATTTATAGGCTCCAGGAACTCCGGGCAGTTAAAACCGCATAACGACCTGTTTTTAGGGCTGCAGACACCCTTGGGTGTCTCAGCAAGGCCGAGACACCCTTGGGTGTCTCGGCCTTGGCCGAAACACCTTGGGGTGTCTCGGTTGGGCCGAGACACCTCGGGGTGTCTCAGTTGGGCCGAGACACCTCGGGGTGTCTCAACTCAGGCTGAGACGCTTCATTTTGCACACTTGTTCATTTCCACCGTAACTTCTTCATCCGAACTCGGATTTGAGTGATTCAACATGCATTGGAAAGCTGGCGAGGAGTTCTATAAGCTTCGATGATTAGATCATTGTGAATTAAGCTGGGATACGAGCGGCATTTCGCCTTTTGTAAGCGATGCGGGGCTCCCGATCAGTTCGTGTCTTCGTTATTCTGAAACTCCGTTACTTCACGTAGTTCGTCGATTCATTTTAAACGTTCATCAACATCAATCAAGCTTCTGTAACTTGGATAGTGACGTTCATCATCTTCTCTTAGCTTTGAGCTGCTCGTGGAGACCTATAGGCAATTTTCAACGCCTATAATATCAACTTCAAATAAGTTCAAGATATGCAAACAAAAGTGCAAGATGAGCTCAAGGCATATGAAGTAAAGAAGATGAAGTGCTTATACATCAATTTAAATTTTACATTTTCTTTACTTAGAAATTTTGTACAAGCCTTGATCACTCACACATATACACATAATGATTAGAACACACTAACATATGCTTAGTATGTTGGTTAACAATAGAAATTCTCTATGTTAACCATTAGAGTTTATAGCTTATCAATGAGTCGCAAAATATTCCATTCATATCATTTTTCACCCCTTTAGTAGTCGACCAATAAGATTTGTAGTCGACTACATGTACACTGTTTAAAATATTAAGTTTATGTTATTTGACAATGTAGTCGGCTATAGACAATAGTAGTCGATTACTCATGCCTTAAACTTAATTTCAAGTTTTTGTCAAATAACAGTGTAGTCGATTAACATACAATGTAGTTGACTACTCATGACTTAGACAGATTTTTAAGTTTCTGTAAAAATACAGCGTAGTTGACTAATGACTATATATAGTCGACTACTAATGTTAAATTTAATTTTCAAGTTTCTATCAAATTATAGTGTAGTCGACTACTACAAAGTATAGTCGACTACTAAGAGTCTTTCCAAAATTCTAGACTTTCTGTCAATTACAGTATAGTCGACTAATGACCAGAATAATCGTCTACTAAGAAAAATCCTGAATTTAAAGAGTCTGTTTGAACTCAGAGTAGTCGACTACTAGGAGTTATAGTCGATTACAGAGATAGTTTTTCTGACATTTCAAGTTTAAAAATCTAACTATTTATAGCCGCTTTTGATCCGTTGATTGGGTTTAAAAACTTGTCTTTTCAAGGGCTATAAATAGGTTTAATGTTCAGAAATTTGCACCATTGATTTCTATCTATAAGCTTTAACTTGTGCATTCTCAAGAGTTCTAAAAATTCAGATTTTTGCCTAAGTGTTGAGAAAATTGAAATCTGAAATAGCCTTTGATCTTCATTACATATACAAAGTATTAAGGCATTTTTCAGAGATTAAAAACATTCCTAAAGCCATTGCTACACATCACTACACAATCAAGGCTTATAGGAATTGTGTTGTTAATTCAAGAAAAGTTCTCTCGGGTGTGAGAGTTGTGATCTCTTGGTGAAGAGATTGTGTGCAATTTACATGGTCTTGCAAATTGGTTAGGTTTGTTTTTTAATTTTGTAATAGTTTTTAAATTCATAGTGGAACTCTCAAGCGGGATTTTCTTGGGGACTGGATGTACACCGGGGAGGTGAAACCAGTATAAAAGCTTGTGTTTGTGGTTAAAATTTCTGTGATTGTTGCTATCTTTATTATAATTTATAATCTACTTTGCATAAATTTTAAAAAAACAATATTCATCCCCCTCTAGTGTTTTAGTGTGTATTAGATCAGATCCTACATTTGGAGGAGATCTTTGAGGAGATCAACTTTTGGAGATCAAAAAACCACCTAAGGAGATCGGCGGTCTTTAGGAGCTATTCTTAGAGCTTTTCCTTGGCTTGTGAACTGAATTTCGGTTGGATTAAATCAACTCTTTTACAGAGTTGTAAACTCGTTTTAAGTTCCTTAACTCATTCAGAGTTCTAAACTCGTACTGAGTTCTCAAACTCAATCAGTTTTTTTAAACTAGTGAGAGTTTTAAACTTGCGTTGCAAGTTCTTCCTATCAAGAAGACTCAACCAAGTTCCACGAGGCGAAGCATTCGGATCGTCAACGGGATACAAGATTCAAACTCCCATCGACACCAAGAAGAACTCAGCTTTAACAAATGAGAGGTCTCTGTTGATCCCTTTCTTCTTTTGTAAATCAGGATACCGATTGAGAAGATTGTAATTTTTTTTTAAAGTCAGTTAGAGAGAAATTGCATTGAGAGAGAGTTGTATTCATTCTTTTTTCTAAGTCAATTAGAGAGAAAAATACAAATTTGCTTCTCAATTTTTTTCTTAAATTTTCCCACGAACAATAAACTGAGATAGTCCTAATGCTCTCCGGCCCTACAATCAGTGTAGGCATTCCAGGATTAGTCCAAGATGAGTTAATGTCGTTTTTGCCTTTATCGAAGTTGGAGCTTTAAAAGAATTGGCGGAGGGAGGAAACCTTAGGTTGGTCAATTTGGGGGTGGAGGAGAGGGTTGGGGCAAGTAGAGTGAGGTGGAGGAGGGGAAGGTGGATGGGGGGATGGTGCAGGTGTTGTGTAGCAAGAGAGATCCATCAAGATTAAGGGAGATCTAGAGATGCTTGTAAGGAACCATTGAAGTGGGGATAAAGATAATGAAGAAGATGAAGAATGAGAGATTTTTGTGGGTGAAATGGGGAGGGGTAGTTTAGGATTTTAGGAAAATTCAGTATACAGAATCTATTTACGTGAGTTGATAGGGCCTAATCACATGAGAACTTCATTTTGAGGGCTTAGAGGCTGCTTGGAGAGGCTTATTTTTTGGTTGTAGGAACTAATTTGAAGTAATTTATAATGAGTAGGAACCTAATAGCAATTTCAATAATTTTTAAAGAACTAATTTTCAAACAACTTTTAAGAATTGAAAGATTAATTTAGAACAATAAGGTGCCATTTAGCAAATTGTTAAATGAGGGGTTAAGGACGTTTAACCCCTTCTCAACCCGCCAAACATATAAAATCTATACAAGGGTTAAAGTGAGTTAACACTCTATAACTTACCAAAACGTAAAAAACGCATAATGGCTAAACTAAACCATTTAGAGGGATTATAATACTCATGTTTAGAAGGATTAAGATGTAACCGTCTATTTACAAAGAAAATAATCAAAATTATCGTTATTCCCAAACATCAAAACCGATTACAAGAAGTAAAATAAAAGCGTATTTAATAGATTAATAATTTAATGCTTCGACTAAGGAAATGGGCCAACCACTTTAATCCTTCTCTCTAATTTCTCTGCAATAACCCTTTACGAAATGCGGCCTAAAGATTTAAGGAATCGAGCAAACGAGGCCTAAAGAATAAAGGAAACCAGGGAACTAATATTAAAAAAAGAAAAACCCTTTTGCGTTATTACAACAGACTCTACAAAAAAAAAATTTCCTTACAAAATACAAAAATTCATTTACACATTGCACACGCCTTAACGTTGTCCCCTGATGAAAGGAAAGAGAGAGCCAAATATGGTAGATAATAATTGTTACCAAGTACAAAGTCGCGTCGGTCTTCCTTTTAAATCCTCATCTATTTTCTCCCAAATTTCTGAAAAATCATCACCCTTTTAAAACTCTGAGATCAATCATCGATCGCTTTCTAATGGAAGCAAACCCGACGCCAGCGCAGGCGGAGGCGGCGGCCGGATCCGCCGGAAACTGGAGATCTGACCTAACGCCGGAGGGGAGGGATCGCGTAGCCAACAAGATGTAGGATTTAGCTCATGCTTTCTTGCAGTTTGATTTACTTGATGAACTGGAGTCTAAATTTGTTTTGAGTTTGGGGTTTTGTTAATTCTTTGGAGACTAGGGTTTGAGAATTGAGCTTATGATGGGGATTTAGGTTTCTTGATGTTTCTAGATGAATGCTGGGTCTTTTTAAAGGCCGGTTTAGGGTATGGATCGATGCTTTTGAGGTTGCTGTTTGACAGTGGGTTTGACTGAGGACTCCGCATGTCTGCATGTTTGTTAATTCAGTTGATTTCCTTATTATCTGATGGTTAGATTTATTGTATAAATTCGCTTGAATTATAGTGTGAATTGATGCTATCTTTCCAGTTGTGAGTCATATTATGTTAAATGACAGAAACAAATTTGCAGATTTAGTCTCTGTCAACCTCAATATTTATGTCCATCAAAATTGGAAATGTAATGCTGGAGATCTCGGAAATAATCGCTAATAGGGTATATATTATCTTATTTGCATGTTCATTTAATTTAAGTGCTAACTATAAAGTGAAACTGACCCATGCTGAGGGTTGCTATAGTTTGAGGTTAATGTTAAACTAATAGTTCAAGTTCGTGGAGCTCAGTTGACTGAGGACTTGGCCACGAGGCAATTGATCGATTACTCTGTGCATGCATGCATGTGTTTTTATTCAGTTGATTTTCCTATTATCTGATGGTTGGAGTTATTGGAGATTTTGCAAATATTGTGGCTTTATGCTATCTTCTGAGTTACTGAGTCTTATCATGTTAAAAATAGATAAATGTTTACAGGTTTTGACTCTATCAACCTCAGTATTCACGTCTGTTGACAATGGAGTGTAAAGATAGAGGTCCCAGGGAAATTTGCTGGTTTAATCTGGTAGTTGTTGTATTCACATGTTTATTAAATTTAAGTGCTAAGTATAAAATGAAACTGACCTAAGCTGAGGGTTGCTATCTTGTTCATTACTGAAATTAGTATCGATCGAGGATTCTGTGCATGCATGCATGCATGTTTATTTAGTGTATTTTCCTATTTGATGATTAGAGTCATTGGAAATAACTGCTTGAGTAATGTAGGTTTATGCCGGAGTTGTGGGTCATATCAGCTACAAAACTACAAATAAAGAAATTTGCAGGTTTCATCTCTGTCAACCACAATATTTACGTCCATTGAAGTGAAAATGTAGGGGTAGAGCTCTCAGAGAGGTTTATGTTTAGTCTGGTTTAGGTTGCTATACTCGTCTGTTTATCTAAGTTAAATGCTAACTGTGAAGTGTCAATGACTCGTACTGATGATTTTATGGACTGACTAAAATGAAATGAGTTAGAAAATGTACTTTTAGAATGTTTGCTTGTTTCTCCTGCTTTAATCTCCTCACTGTAGATGTTTTCGTTTGAGTATTTATCTATAAAAAATGACCCAACTTTCAGCCATTCCAATGTTAGTGTTGAAAGTGGGTCATTTTCTTTTTTTTTTTAATTTCGTTCTTTTAATAACCGCGATTGCCAATCCTGGGTAATTAACAAACAATCACATTGGTCAGAAAAACTTAGGATTGCTGCCCCTAACCAACACTCATTAATCAAAAACTTCCTAACTGTTCATCGGTGTCACCCACCAGTACCAGTGGGAGGAGCTCTTGCAAAGCTCCCAAGATGCTAGCTTCAGTTTGTTTTAGGCTGGTCGACTCATCATTGGTAAGTCCATGAATTATATTTTGCACAGAGCGTACCACTGCATTGCAAGCATCTGTTCTGTCACTACAAACTTCAAAGGCACCATACATCCCCGCTCGGCAGAAGGGTTGCCCGACAGTCTAGTTTGGCTGTTTAAAGCAAAACATAAACCATGACAGAACAATTTCAGAATATTCTTGTTGATATCAAAATCATGGTAATTTTGAATATGTTAATGCTATCTAATTTTTGTCACTGACACTTTGTGTTATAACTTGGAAGCTTGCAAGAGGCCTTTCAATGAGAACTAGTAGGGGGCCCAGTGAACAAGGGCACTTTCATGTATATGTGTTCATTAATAACCCATCGCCAGTGATGCTGGGTTTTTTTAATTATCATGATTAGTTTGTTAATTATCTGGGTTCAAAAACCCCGGATTATTAAAAGAGCAGAATTCCAAAAAAAGACCAACTTTCGGCAAGAATGTTGACGTGGTCCAAAGTTGGTCGTTTTTGTAATTTAAATTTAGAAAAGAGTTGTTTTCAGACCCAAAAAACTCCATTTTTATTTGCAACAGTGCACAATTTAACTCAATTCTTGTTTTGCATAATTCTTGTTTGAAATGACTTATATGATTTTATCTCTCAAGTATTCAATTCTTGATAGATCCTTGCCTCTTTCATCTTCTTATCTCTGGATAATCTGGTTCTTTTCAATAGTATGAACTGTTACATTCATGTCATAATTACCATGGTTGAGAAATACTTTTGATGACGTTATATTATTGATCATTGTTATTTTGCAGACTGGAGACCTTGAAGAGACATTTGCCGGTCAATGTTCCTGAGGGATTAAGCGAATTGAGGAAAATTGCTGTCCGATTTGAGGGGAAAATTTATAATCTTGCTACTAGTCAGGTACATCTCTTTGCATGATGTCTACACTTTTCTTGTTGCTGGTACATCTATTTGCATGATTGTCTACACTTTTCTCGCTGTATTTAATAGAAGACCACTTGTTATAGGTAAATTATTTCTGTGGATTTTTTTAATTTCATCTGACCTTTGTTAATGTGCACAAATTTCTAGTTTTTAGATTGTATAGCATGTCTATCCGTAATGTTCTGGGAGAACTTCAAAGCTGACATCTACCATACTGATTACAATCCCCCATAAAATAGTCACTTTATAGTTATAGTGATCCTATGTTCAGGTACAAGATAGAATATAGGAGTTACTGGGATTCAAAGTACTAACCTTGATCTACATAGAGGTGCATCATCATAAATTCTGCCATGTTCCTGAAAGTGAACGTTTAGTTAGGTATCTTACCTTCTATGTAGTCAAAACTATAAAGGAGAACAGAAAATAGTTGTCCTTTCCATTAATGAAAATGTAAGACCATTTATTGGAGAACATATGATCAATCAAGTTTTAGCTCAGTCGTGAAATTTAGACCACCTAATGAAAAACCATTGTTAGAATGTAATCAATCTTATAACTTGTTTGGCAGGTTTCAAAGAAAGAGAAACTTCCTATTACTACTGTGAGCAAACATAAGCTGAATAACATACTCCTTGTAAGATTTGTGGCTCAAGTTGCATTAATTACTAATATAGGGCTGTGATTCCCATATCTGTTATTTGTGCGTGATTGCTCGTTCGTTCTGACGAATGTTAGTTTGCACCAATTTGTATATCATGAAATTGTTTGATCTCGGTCGTATTAATTCGTCTTTTAGTAAGTCAAGTTACATGTGGTATTCTGATTGACATTTTTTTTTTTTTTTTTTTTTGGAAATGAGAGAATTGGTGTTCATTCTCAAACTGAAAAAACTCCCCAAACTCTTAAAAGTTGGAAAGGGAGTCACTTCTACCTGGGATGCTTGAAAGAATAAGAACCAAACACGATTCAAAAGTTTGAAAAGTATCCAACTAAGGAGAAAATATCTTAACCCAATGAAAATTATATAACCAAAAATTATGATTGCTCCAAGATTTTCAATTTGATGAATTATAAATTCACATGGAAATTCAAATAGCAATCTAACCTTCATTAAGTGGACATTTTAAACTTATGTTCTTATCATGGACTTGCTGTTTAACCTTAACGGAGTCACAATGTCTTTAACTTATCTTTTGTCACTTTTGTATTTGGCAGTATCATCTGGCATTTAGCGTAGGTAGCTTTTTTTGCTATATGATAAGTTCCCACTTACCACTAGTCATATTGAAACTTATGCCTTTTTTCTTCTTTAGTCTGGGGTTATGGTCGCTTTATGAGCTTTCAGCAGATCATTTATATTGTTTTATTGAAATCTAAGTTTTATAGTTAATTCATGATTGTCAGCATGTTCAATCATTATTAAAAATATGCTTTTGTCTTTGTTGATTCTATGGTCATTATTAGAGTCAAAGCTTCCGTAGAAATAACTTTCTTCCTCCCACTTATCTCAGTCGGACTATCTGCGGAAAATTTCTCTGAAAATGCTTTCTATGGAGGCTAAGGTTCAGCAACCGAGTCTAATTACTTCAGGAACACCAAATGACAGTGCTGTGAATCAAAACCTTGCAAATTCAGGTATCTTCTGTGTCATCAACTATCAGTAAATGGGCATGTTAATAATAATAGAATGCTTCTCCCACCTCTAAGTAGTGTGAACTTCAATTGAGTTTTAGGATTCTCTTACACTGTTATCTCTCACTTTCACTGTAACTTTGTTACTATCCAACTGAAGCTATGATGTATTATATCATCTTTGAGTAGATATTCTTGCAACGATTGCTGTGTTTATTTAATGTTTTTCTCACTCCCCCACCCCTTGAAAATTGCACTGTGGGTGTGTGTATATACGTATACATGCTTTAATCTTTCTGTATGTTTACTATCTATAGATATGTGGAAAAATAGGTATCATGCGGTTGACACCCTGCATTCCTCCCTTCCTCCATCTATCTACCTGCATATAGTGAGTAGGAGTGTAGCAAGTAATTATGCAAGTGCTTGTACCGTGTAATAAAGTACAGAGGTACTTCAATTATCTGTTTTTTTCCGGTTTTTGTGGAATTCCATGTTAACGTTTATATGGAAGTTATCCTGCCATTCAAGGATGACATTTATTTTTAAGGTATAAAGTTGTAAACGTGCTTCTGTATTAACCGTCTCATTTTATTTCCTTTTTTAATCTATTAGTCATGAAATGTTACTACAATCAATAACATGTGTGCCCAGTTTGTAAATATTTATCAGATAATGGACCCATCTAATTTCTGGTATAATTTTGAAGGGATTCGGTATGAGACAGTGACTTTGTCCTATCCTAAGCCACCTACCCAGTGGCTACATACTCCAGCAAACAGATCTGTTGATTGTGATAGGAATTCGATTTTGGAAGATGAGCCCAGTGCCAAGGTACTTCACATTGTACTGCCTCATTTTACCTTTTCTTGTTATACCTGTAAATTTAATATTAGCTTTACCTGTATTTTTTTCTACTTAATATTTGGAAGTTTAAAATTTTAATCATACAGTATGTGTTTTTTCTCAGTAGTTTCTTTGAATGAGGTATATCTGGCATGTGTCTTCTTTCATTATTTACTTCTATCCTTTCATTTGTTTATAGTCATACAGATTTTATTGATTTTAAATGTTAATCCATCTTCTTAGAAGCATTACATGGCTGGTTCCAACAACAATAATAAGTTAATAACACATCCACTGAAACCAAAGTATTTATAATTATACTGTTTTCTTTGGTCTCTCTCTCTCTCTCTCTCTCTCTCTCCATGTGTGTGTGTGTGTCATGTTTAAAGCAATTCATGTCTTTCATGGCAATGCTGTACAATACTATATGTATGCCAATTATTTAATTTGTTGTATACATACATATTCAAATGGAAGTATTCTTTAACCCTGCTAGATATTAAATGTGTTTTGTGCTTATTTTAACTTATTTAATGTTGTTTTATGGTTTGTGAGTTTACCCACCAAAATCAGGGTTAGATTACAATTAACATGTAAAAGTTTATCAAAATTAAATTATATTAACAACTTGCTGAAAATTGCACTAAAATATTTTCTTCTGGAAAATGTAAAAAAAATATAACCTATTAAAAATAGGTTTAAATACATTTTGTACAAAATAGAGCTTTTCTGTCCGTCTTCCTTTTGAAATAGAGTTTTAACGCGGCATCAAAGTGATTGTTTTAACAAAGCAAATTCTTGAACAAAGTTTGCAACTATGTTCTAGACCTGTCTAACGTGCACCATTATTCTGCCTTTTTTAGTCAATATGTCACAGTTGTCGACGAGCAAAAAGATTTTCTTATTTCTTTATTCCTTTTTCCCCTATCCTTTGTTTTTTTGTTTTGTCCTTTTCGGGAGGGGAGAGGGTGCCCACTTCCAATCCCCTGAAAGAATAATCACGTGCTACTCAATTCTTTTGCTAGATCTCACATGTCTATCTTTAACAACTTCCCTAATTTGTTCACATTTAATTCAGTAATCACCCCATTCTTCTGATGTCAAGTCTATTTTTCAGTTTAAAATTCATATGTTTATGATTAAAATTCAAGTTAGAATGATCTTGTTTAAAAATGCACTAATACCTGAACTTACATATTTAAAAATGTAAAAGTATCTCCTGACAAACCCCGATTATCCATAACTACAGAAACTGCGGATAAAGCATTTAGATTTTCAATAAATGGATTTGTATTAGACATGTGAAAAAGTATGCGGAAGAAAATAACTAGAGCCTTTCAACTTTGCCCCATTTGAGCTACCCAAAATGATGGTGGGAATGTTTCTCCCGTCCTCCAGCAACTTGTGTTTTAAAGCCCAAAGGACAAACTAAAATGACGATAGTTGCATATTACATTTCTCTGCTATCAAAGAGCCATTATTGTAAAAGTATGTATGTTAATTGAAGTCAATGTGGAGGATTACTTTCGTGAGCCTCATTCTAGATGCCAGCAAGTGTTTTCCGTTCTTGATTATCCAACAACTCCTTTATGCCTGGAAACCAAAAAGTAAACTCAAATAGCTAAGGCTACATATTGTGTTTGTTTTCTCATTCCGGAGGGAAAAACCTTCCTAATGATATTTGATGTCTCCTGGATACAACTAAATGAAGGATTCTTTCAGGGTCGTTAAGAAATATTCAAAATATATAATATTTTCTTAATCTAGTTTTGTGTTCTTATAATTAATGCTTTGAGAAGTCATATGAATTCTTAATCCGAATGCAGTCACTAGAAATTTATCCTACTCCAACGAGCCTAAAAGAGTAGGTAGATGTTAACTGATAGATAAGTAATATCAATACATTTGACTACATGTTGTACCACGGAGATTAACTCATGTACATTCACCCTTTTGTTTTCTAACTATATTTTTTGCTTCTCCCAAACACCCCTGCCAAAAAGTACATACACATGCATACATAGCATGCAAAAACAGAAGGAAATAGAAAAACCCGCCCCCTCAAATTTATATCCCTTAACCTATTGAAGGACATCAAAATTTGCTGGAACATGGTTATTATGATTGCCAATTATGTTTGTGTTTATGTAAAGCCTTAGTGTAGATCATTGTTGCTTTATGACCTCTTCCTGAAGAACCCACATTGAAGAGGCTGGTGTGCTCTCTGCTACTTGAAATATTCGCAGAATGTTTTTACAATTATTGCGGTCCTCTTGTCTTATCTCTAATTTAGGATTGGCAACCTTGGTTTGGTCCTATCATGCAAAGGTTGTGTGCCAGAGACATTCTTTATCTCTTGCATGTGAAACTCCTTAACGTTTATCACTTGTACACGGAATTATATGGAGTTTATTGTGGCAAGATGATAGCTTCGTTTTCACTTGGTTCGAGTCAATTAGAGTGGCAGCTAACCATTGTTTTAGTAGAAATTATTTGGAATTATCACAAAGCATTGACATTTTTTATTATATAGTATATTATGAACATCTCCAACTTTTTAGATGCTATTAGCTATAAATTGATCCAACTCAGAATTTGCGCATGCTAACCAGTTCTCCTTTAGTTACATCGATAATATAGATGTGTGTAATTTTAATTGTTTTTTATCTGATAAATATCGTGTAAATAACAGCGAAGGAAACTCAATGAGCCGGAAAAGATCTCAACAGAGGAGCTCAGTTGCAGCAGTGAGAAACCAAAGGAGCCTACTTTCAGCTGCCCTATTTGTTTGTGTGAAATTGTTTCTCCTTTCACCACACTCTGTGGTCATATTTTCTGTGAAGTTTGCATCAAGACTGCCATCAAGAAGCAGAAGAAATTATGCCCAACTTGCCGAACAAAACTTACTGGGAAAAACAGCATTCACCGAGTTTTCCTTCCATCGCTAGACTGAGGCAACATTAAATCAATTATTGAATTATGGAAGCTGATGTTTTGCTGCCTAGATCTTTCGAGCTGAAACCGGTTCTCATTTGAAGTGCATACGCAGTAAGTATTAGCAATATGTTCTGTTGTATTCCAAATATAGAAAACTAAAGTACTTTTTTTTAATGGGAGAAACTAAAGAACTTGGGAAACCCATATGATCAAGTTTCGAATAATGTATATGCAGAAGCTTACCGCAGAAACTGATTGCGTTCTTATTTGCAATGGGTTATCTGCCTTGTTTTATACAACAGCAAAGGGTTATAAATTCTAAAGAGTCAGTAAGTTCGCATTCAAATACATTAGCAGGTATGAACTCTGCTGTTGCGCTTAACATCTTGGTTTTATTGATTTCTGATATATGCTTGAGAGACTAGAAGTTCTAAAGGACAAACAAGATCATAAGATAAAAACGAAAGAGTAAAAAGACAAGATTTCTGAGCAAAGTTCGCTTTCAAGTTTAAGGCAAGAACAAGCAACAACAGCAATCCAGGCAAACTTCTTCAGCTAGAGTTTGATGTCCCCGTCTCCCTTGCTGTATTTTGGATTCTGTTCCTTTCTTCTCTGCACTTGCTACAGATTATATGCATTTAATTTCTATCTGTGTTGGTTCTATTATTTAAATACACATTGTAGCAGTTCCTGTTGTTTTCAACGCTTGCTCCGGATTATATGCATTTGACGTGGGCTTTGTTAAGGGGCCGTTTGGTTGGTTTCCTAAAAACTAAGAAAAGGAAATCGGTACAAGGAAATCTATAAAATAATATTTTTATCCATTTTCATCCCTAAAACTCTCCAATAAAATAATATTTTTATCCTTCAACTCATCTTATTTCATTTTATTTCTTACCTAAAAATAAACCAAACACAAGAAATGTGTCACATCATCCAACTCATCATATCTCATCTTATCTTATTTTTAAAAATCATACACATCATCCAATAATATTGTGACAACTCATCTCATCTCATTAAATTTTTCTTTCCATCCATTTCTTCAAAAAAAAAAAAAACAAGAATGTGTCACATCATCCAATAATATACCTTCAACTCATCTCATCTCATCTATTTTCTTATTTTTAAAAATGAACCAAACACAAACAACCTCAAAACATTATCTAATAATATACCTCCAATTCATTTCCTTATTTTTTTTAACCAACCAAACAACCTCAAAACAAGTTTTTTTAAAAAAATCACTCACATCGTCCAATAATAAGGTGACAACTCATCTCATTTCATCTCCTATTCTATAGTTTTCTTCTTTTTTAAACCAACCAAACAACCTCAAAACAATTATTATAAGAAATAGGTTTCCTATTCTTTGATTTCTCTTTTTTCGAAACTAACAGCCCCTAAGACAAGACAATATAGTGAGGAACCACCACAAAAATTTTAATCTTTGTAAAACAACCATGGTAATATGCACTTATAATACAGTGCAACCAATTCGTAATCTCCATCCATATTTTGTTAACCAATATGTTAAATTCCTTAAACACCCTCATGGCAGGACCCACGTATCTTTAGACTAGTGTGCATCCCGTGCAAAACACGGCCCCCTGTTTTTTTAAGCACTGCATTTTAAACTTGTCTTCCTCTAAGTGTTAATACATTTGATTTAATTATTGTACGCTTAAAATTAGAAATTATATATACTCCTATATACTTAAAGAAGAATCTAAGTTTTATTATATTTGATTTAGAAATCATATCTAGTAATCTATACTTGAAGGAGAATCCATGTTTTAATACGTTTGATTTATTTTATTGTTTAGAATACAGTAAATTACTGTAGATAAACAGTAGCTTCAAGTATAGAGGCTCAAATCTGCTTTACTGTTTATGTTACAATAAATACTGTAGCATGAACAGTGACATTCGAGTGGGGAGGACCGGATCATGAATAGAAACTGCAAGCGAGGAGGCAAGATCTGATTTAGTGTTCATGATACAGTAATTTATTGTAGCATTTACTGTAGCATGAACAGTGATTTTTTGGATCCTCCTATAAGTATAGACTAGTGTGCACCCCGCGCAAAGCACAGCCTCCATTTTTTTATTTTTGTTACAGTAATTCTGTATTTAAATACAGTTTTTTGTAAGCGCTACAGTAACATTTTTAAAATATTACGTATCCCGCTTGAGCTATAATAATAAAGTTGCGGTAGCATTTTTTAAACGCTGCAGTTCCCAGCCTGTGCTACAATAATAATGCTACGATAGTTTTATTGTAGCATGAATAGTGAATGTTAGATCCTCCTGTTTGTGCTACAGTAATAATACTATAGTAATTAACTATAGCATTACTGTAGCATGAAAAGTGAATACTGGATCCTCTCATTATTATAAAGGAATAGAAGAGTAGATTATAGGGCAAATTTGCAAAATAGACCGTTTTTTGAATAAAATTAGCGAAATAGACCGTTTTTGGAAAAAATTAGCAAAATAGGACCGTTTTTTGGCGAAGAGGTCGATTGTTTGAAAAATGGATCAGAAAACATATACGCTACAGTCCCGTATGTTTTAAAGTTCAATATTTTGTTTTGTTAAGCAAAACGTACGGCGACTAGTAGTCCCGTACGTTTTACAGTAGCCAAGTTCCACTGCCAGCAAATCCACTGGACTAACTAGTCTTGCGTCGATTTTTGCAGAGGCAGCTAAGCCCCTGCCGCAGCAAGGATCCACGGACTAAGCTAGTCCCGTGGATTTTGCAGAGCAGCTTAAAGCCCCATGCCGACAGCAAATCCACAGGGATCTACTAGTTCGCCGTGGATTTTGCTAGGGCAGGATACACCAAACATGCAGCGGCCTCAATTTATCGAATTAACAACAAAATTTTCGCCAAAAAGATATGCATTTACAATATCACAACACAAATCTCATGCATAGAGTACGTCACCAACACAAATCTGACGTAAATCAAAACAACATCACAACACAAATCCAACGGAATACACATCACAATCAAAATATCGCGACAAAAATACCACATCACCAGCAATCCATAGCGATTAATATATATATCAGATCATTAAGTTGAAACAATCCAAATGCTTTCAAGTCGACACCATACGATAATATGTAGTTTAAGATAAACATAATGCGCAAGGTCCAATAAAATCATGACGACAATATAGTATTTAGTGGATACAAACTAAACAAATAAAAATCCACACCGGCTTGCCCGGTCGTCTCTCTCTCGCACTCGTTAGAGATCGTCGGCGTCGTCCTTCGATCTTGAGCTTGAATATGCTCGCTCTCCGTTGTGTGTGGGCCTGGTCGTGATGGACCGCTTGCTGTGATTGGACCGGCTTGTTTGATGGACCGGCTTGCGTGACCTGTGACGGACAGGCTCATTCGTCTGTTGCGTGCAAGGTCTACCGCGGCCTACGTCGACGTACATATAGAGTATGCGTCAAGATCCACCTGCTCACGAGACCATCATGTCGATCCTCATAGTTTTTATAAGAAGCTTTACGAAACTCGTCGCCACTCATCGCGATGCAATATCAGATACATGTACTGAATCTCCTGTCGGCGGTAACTATGCCCTTCAATTGCAAGCCCTCGACGGTCATCCATAGATCATCTACAATTAGCATTAAAAAATATTGGATATAAGAATACCATAAGCTAAGAAAGAGATTGACATTCTACTGAAATTTCTGACAATTTAACTTATCCATCGTCGCACTCATCTACCCCTCTTGGCTACATATCGAGATTGTGTGGAGCTAATCTACGATTTCGTCGACTGGAGGCGTTAGTTTGATGATTATCCAACCGCTGTAACCAATACCATTTTTAATGTAATCAAAACTTCTTCCATCGGAGGATTAAAGCGGCATCGACAATAAGTTGATGCGATCATTCCACCGAGCTATGTATGATTGATGTGTGCGCCCTCCACGTCACATCTGATCGTCCACCTGTAGTGTCCTTTCTCTCTATTTTTTCGACATATTGTGGGAGCATTGTCTATTTTTCCGCGCGATGTCAAACTGTCTAAACACGCATCGTATTGGTACGTGCCATCTCACAATCTCGAAACCAACGCAAAAAACTCTGGCCTCACTTATGCCGTGGCTCCATACAAATCACTGCGGTAGTAATCGACGTAGTGGTGTGAAGGGGTGTATGCTGCACTCGACTGAAAAAAAATCCAAATGTTAATATCTCTTTGAAATATATTGATATCATAGAGTCACTTCAATTCAATATTCGATACCTGAAAAATTTTCATCGGTTACTGAGCCTCCCCTCTGTAAAGTCTTAATTGCCTTAGCCCGGGGTTATCATAAGCTTTTGCCTGAATTCCATCTGCAGAAATGTTTCCTTGTTCAAAATCGTTAAATTTTAAAATTAAATACAAATGAGGATTCAATTTGACGCTTTTTACCTGCAGCCTAGTGAGAATATGCTCTATCTAACTCTTCGGATCTCACTAATCTGGTTTCAAAACCAATCTTATTCCATGCCCTAAACTTCTGTAGCAAAGTTAAAACAACCCTTGAGCTCCTTATTCTACATTAATAGCAACCTTTTGATCATTTCTCGAATAGGTTATGGCTAAAACAGGCATACCCCAGGATAATGCTCCCGCCACATGCTCGAAGTCTATTCGATGAAGTGTACATCATCCTTATGCGCACGAGTTTCAGAATACGTAGTCATGTAATATACTTAAAAAATGTGAGCAAAAATCAATACTTAATGTACTTACTCTCAATGCGACTTTTATGTTATCTTTAATTGAATTCGCGGCAAAAGAACGTGTCCCGATCATGTGCATTAATAGATGCTCGTCGCATGCTGTTGGATCATCACTTTCAGGTGCATCTTGTGGCAGGGTTTTCCAAAACTTCCATTAAGACCACTGAATTAATTATAATAAAATGTGATTATCAATATTCCTAACAAATTATCACATACTCTTCGCCAAACATGTCTACCAGTCCCCGTGATACAAGGGCCATCAATGCGGAGATCTAGGATCACTGCTACATCCTGGAGAGTAATAGTTGTCTCGCCAACATGTAGATGGAAAGTATTAGTCTCCGGCCTCCATCTATCCATCAACGCGTTAAGTAGTACCCAATCGAGCTTCATCCATTTCAATTTTGAGCAAGTAAGAAAACCGGCTTGTGATACTAGGGCAATGATGCGAGGATCATCAAGTGGCCAGTGCGTATGTCCAAGGCTATGATCAATCATAACCAGCTCTTGTCCTCTCTGCACATAAATGAATACAAAGATTATAAAAATGAATAAGTAATATGTGACTGTAAATATGTTATCATTACCGATGTAAATGATATGCTCTCCGAACGGTGGCGTGACTGATCATAAATGACTTCATCTTTAACCGGTCCGGGAAGCATCGTGTATATACCTGCACATATAACGGTAACTTATGAGTTTCTGCCAAATCAAATACATATGAACAATGTATCTACTTGCTAAATCAATAACATATAATGATGACATATCATTAGAAAATATTTTACTTACAAATTAATTGCTATCTACTTGCTCTTGATGGACAACGAGACCTATTATGTCCTAATTGATTACATTGTCCACATCGGATTCGTGACGCTACTCCTTCACGACCTTGATCCATGGTAGATCTAATGCGTACGGATTTTGGTCATCCAGCTTGTCTTTTCTGCTTAGGTGGTAATATATACGGTATATATTATTCCGGCCAATAGCGAGTATCATCGGGAGGATGCAAACTCTCCTTATAAGCCCACCGATAATGATTTGTTGAATACCAAGCTGAGCAATACCGGTCATAAGGCAATCTAGCACCACCATCTTGATTGGAACTAGCCGCTAAAACGTGTTGACATGGGATTTTCTGTAATTGTGGTATACTACAAGTACAACTGCACTCCTGATCGTCGAGATGAACGGTGTATGTACCATCACAATCTTTAACCTCCCACTCATTGTTGTTGAATTGTTCAATTCTACATGTTCTCACAGCCACAATCCTTTTCTGCAAAATAATCTCATTTTTTGGAGTGTACTTACTCGTCCAATTTGCACTATCACTGCGGCTCTTATTAAAATATGCGTTCAATCTATAAAACGTCCTTGCAACTAAGGCTTGAATTGGCATAGCACGGGCACCTTTAAGTACGCCATTGAAACTTTCGGAACAATTAGTTGTCATCATACAATATCGCACTCCACCATCTTTACATAATGCCCATCGATCTTCGTATTGCGGCTTCAAGTTTTGTTCAATCCAATCGTGGGCTTCAAGTGATATAGATTTAATTTTCTCTCTACAATGCTCATATACCAGTGAGTCAGTTGCACAACCGGCTTGCCATAATAGATTTTGTAAATTGACCTCTCCATGTTTTTTCTTAAAATTAGCGCTTATATGCCGCAAGTAATATCGGTGATTATGTGGTGCACTCCACCCCTCGTGCAAGGCTCATGGAATTCCTTTCATCCGGTCAGAAATAAAGGTAATAACTCGTGGACTTTGAACAGTCAGAATATATTTGTAAATACATTGAAAAAACCACTTCCAACTCGATGTATCCTCCACCTCCACAACTGCAAAAGCTATAGGAAATAGCCCACCGTTTGCATCTACACCGGTCGCAACCAAGAGCACTCCTTTGTACTTGCCATATAAATGTGTTCCATCGATACTTAAGAGCAGACGATAAAAAGAGAACCCTCTGATAGCGGGCCCAAATGCCCAAAAAACACGTATGAACCTCTCCATTTCTGGTGCGACCTCCTTAGACACTATGTCATATTCGGTACCCGGATTGTTCCGCACAATTGCTGAAAGGTAATGCGGAAGTAATTGGTAAGATTCCTCCCAATCTCCGAAGATTTTAGTCAACGCCTTCCTCCGTGCATCATATGCTTTAAACTTGGAAATTGTTATTCTTTTCATGTCATATACCCTTGTAATTATCTGTCCTGGAGTAAGATCAAGTTCCCGCCTAACTTCGGGCATAATTAGCTTTGTGATATAAGAGGAAGTCAAAGTCTTATGATCATAAGTTGCAGTCGAATTAGAACATGTATGGAGTCCGCAATAACTAGAGATTATAAATTGGCCAAGTGATTTTTTCCTAATAGTTGCATTAAGCTTCCATGGACACTTTGAATTTCTATCATCTGTAACACTTGTATTCTCTCCTTGACCTCTCTCATTAAAGTAACACTTTACATGATAGCTAGTTGTGTTGCTTTTCACCGTCTTGAATTTGACCCGGTTTTTTATTGTCCATTCACGTATAGCGAAAATTAATGTTTCCTTGTTCTCGAAAAGATCTCCTTTCTTGAAAGTAAAGTCCTCGGATGGATCGAAATTAGGGCCAGGATCGACGAACTCAGCTTGTGAGGCATTTATCCACTCATCATTTTGAAACTCTTCTGGCAACGGCTCTTCAGACTCTACGTAGTCGTTATTTACGCAATATTCATCCATCCAACTTACGTCATCATTGGTCTCTCCAATTGCATACTGCATACTATCAAGACGTTCATCCTCTTCAGCATCTTCAGTATCATCATCGGCATCTACATCCTCATCATTATCCTCTGCTATTGTAGACCCCCCGGTAAATCATCTGAAACATAACCCGGCGAGTTGTGGAACACGTCATTTGACATTGCACCCGACTCATTTTTTAAGCGCATGGCACTTTGAGATAACGATATTTGATTATCAAGCATGCGGGAGAACTCTCCACGAGCATATGAAACTTCAGCGACCGAAGACACTGGAATATTTTCAATAAACAACTCGATTGATACTTGTTTTTCCGCAAGCTGTATCATGTTATTCAATTCTTCATCATTGGTGATCTCTACAGCAATTGTTCTTTGATCATTTATTGGACAATTACAGAAGATCTTAATGGAATTTTCGACGTGATTAATTCCAGTAACTCTGTATATTTGCGCCACCAATCTATCAAAGTTGTAATTTCTGGACAACATGAACATTTTCTTAGAGCCTCCATCGTATATAGGCATATTATTCATTCCAACGCTCAGTTTTCCATTGAATAAGCAAATAATCGGTACTCCGTTCGCCATTTTAACTGAAGCATTAAAATTCATCATATAATAATTATATTTTTTTCCAGACATTTTTCTAGACCATAATCATATATTTCTTCTAGATATACAACATTAACTAAACAATACATATAAATTTATGGAAAAATTAAAATTTGTACCTTGATTAAATCTCAGATCTCCTCGGCCTCGCAGAGAATCGACGGCGTCGGCGTCAGATTTGAGGGAGGAAGAGGTGAGTTGGGTTTGGGGGAGAGAGATAGGGATTGTTGGGTTTTGGGATAGATGGAGATCGGGTTTGGGAGAGAATGAGAGCTTTGATCGGCTTGGGAGAGAATGAGAGCTCGGGAAAGAGAGAGGGGGGAGATCTAGAGTTGGAGCTCAGGAGAGAGAGAGGGAGAGAGAGGGGATCGGAAGTGGGTGCTCGGGAGAGAGAGAGGGAGATGGCGAGAGAAAAAAACGAAGGGGGAAAATGTGCCCTAGTTTGGGTATATATAGTCTGTAATTATACGGGACTAGTAGTCCCATATAAATTGCAGAGCAGCTTTAGTCCTCGCCAAATCCACGGGACTAGTAGTCCCGTGGATTTGCTGGGCATAGGCTTAGCTGCCTCTGAAAATCGTACGGGACTACTAGTCCCGTAAGTTTTGATTTGTGCACACAAAATATACGGGACTAGTAATCCCGTATATTTTCTGAGTGCACTTAACGTTAGATTAGTTAACTTTAAACATACGGGACTAGTAGTCCCGTATGTTTTCTGAACCCTTTTTCAAAATCGACCTCTTTTGCCAAAAAACGGTCTATTTTGCTAATTACTTCAAAAAACGGTCTATTTCGCTAATTACTTTATAAAAACGGTCTATTTTGCAAATTTTCCCTAGCACCAATTGATTGAGTCGGATCCATTGAGCTACTTCTGACGATTCATCATCACCATCAGGTCGAGGAAGAGTTCCGTCCACAAGTCCAACAAGACCATGAGAACGGATGACAGGAAGAACTTGAGTGCGCTAGGGGTAGTAGTTTGTGGAGAGTAATTTGATGGAGATCTCTTGCCTAATGGCCTTCACTGCTGGAAGAGAGGAAGAGCTGAGAGGGATTTCAGATGTTGCATCGGAAGCCATTCGCTCTGATACCGTGTAAAGAAAAACATAGTATACATAGAAACAATAGAAAGAGGAATATATGTTGGAATTGCATATTTTCTTTCTCTATATTATCTTCTATATATAGAGATGTAGAGTACAATGATAAGGCTAAAATCTCTTGATTATAGCCATGGATTCTTGTAACTATATACAGGTAGAGTCCCTTGATTTCAGCCTTAAACTATAAACAATATACAGCTATATGGTTGTAACTGAATGTCAGGTATATGGTTGCAACTGAATGTAGAGATCTCGCACATATCTCGCACAGTACTGATCAACCAGATGCTTCCGCGGGCTATCCCTCGACCCTCGCGTGAGCAGTGTAGGTCATGCCCCCTGGATGCCATGGGCTGAAGCTGAATGACATTCCTCTTCCTAGATACAGAGTAATGTATCGTCCTCATCATCATCGCTCATCCGCTTGAAGCTTGGTGACATGAGCCAGGTCAATGGATGGCGAACAAATCAGGAGGCGATGCATAACAACATCCACTTCCATCAAACGCAATCGCTTGTTGAGGCTGGCAGCGTAACACGTGTTGTCATCGTTGCAATCCTTCAATGGTGGGTGCAAGGCATTCTACCACGAATAGGTGATTATTTGTTGTCATTTAGGCTCTAATAATTTGTACCCGCGCAATATTAAGCTCCCCTCCCCTATAAAACTGGAGAATCTCTCGGCGCTATCCTTTCAGCAAGGAGCACGGTTTGGAGGTCAGAATGCATCCCCAAGAACGCAATGCAAAAAGAGAGTAAAACACAGAAAATGAACCCTCAAATCAAAGCAGTAGGAAAAAGCAAACACAATTAAGTCGTGATTGCAGCACCAATCCTCCAACTCTACTAAAGAATTAAGCACCGATTCGTCTGGTAACACAGTCAATTTTATCACACTACATAAAGATTGCGATTAACCACGCTTATATTTGGTTCCAATGTATTATCGACACATTTTCTCTCCTTGACCAGATAGTATCAATTGTTTGAACAACACATAAATACAAGCCTTGGTACATGGACAACATTCCTTGATACTGATACGCTGTATCCACAGCTACATTTCTAATAAATAGCATGGCATACATAATGTTTAAACAGTAAGAAAAAAAATGGTGAGATAATATTCCACACCATATCATGCAGTTAGTATAATTCACACCAAAAACAATTGAGTTAAATGCCCAGGTGAACTAGTATTCTCACATGAATGGAAGCCTAAAAATCAATGCAGCTTCTCGGTTTGTGATGGAAGTCTCCTCAAGAGAGCAATACTGATAACCCTAACATCAGGAGCATGCAGTTATTAGCTGTTATTATCCAGTTTATGCCTTTTTGTAGCTTGTTCGGATTCCTCGCCGCTGCTCCCAACCATTGAGTGCCCCATCGCTCGGTTACCAGATGATGGGTCATCAGGATCCTACAACCGAAAGTTAAGCCAGCAATTACATTTGTTTAGAAGGTGAACTGTTGAAATGTAAGACAAAAATAAATAATGCTACCGGGATTCAACATGAAAGGGCTAAAGTAAGCAATTGTATCTTTAAGACACATGATAGGAAAGGGCTCAAGAAAACAATAGGTTAGGTGCTTTTGTCTTGAGAGCAAAAAAGGCTGAGGAACAAAGCAAGGCAATCAAAATGACTACCAACTGGCATGTCATAGGAGAGATTCACGCACAAACAAAGCCTAGGAATCTATTAAGAGATACTCAGATACAAAGGTATCTAGGTATATATAATCCATTTGATTAGCTAGCTCAAGGGTGCACCTGGACTCCTAAAATTTTATGCGATATTAGAGCATTCAGCAAGGTTCTTTACAAAATAGGTGTTTTTGATTCGTCCTTAAAAAAGCTGGAGAACATTGAAAGCTAAAATAAATTATTCAGGAGAATATTAAATTATTAGCTGACAGAATGTTAAATTATTCAGGAGAATATTAAATTATTAGCTGACAGAATGTTCTATATTGTCCAGATAATACATAGAGAAAAGGGTAACCTAATTTGTGATGAACTAGCATACTACTCTAGTATAGTTTGTTATCAGCGAAAAATAAATAGTTGTGCAGTTTAGCTGCATTTGACTTTAAGTAATGGGGTGATCAAAGGAAGAATGAAGAATGATTTCTTAAAATAACATATGATAGTAGTGAAACTGAGAGTGCGACCAGTCTGCGATGTTGCAATATATTCCTACTGAGTTTTTCTGAGTTCTCAAAGGAGAAACTCAGAAGAGGAAAAGCAATACCTTAGCACTGGAAGTAGTAGCAGGCCTCTTTGCTCTTTTGCCGAGACTAATCTGCACAGAGATGCTGGCTTGGGACAAATCTAAACCAGAGCTCTCTAGTGACTGTGTGAGCGTAGCCAATAGCCTGCTTGATATGAAACCACCCACAAGATAAAAGTTTAGGTGTTTTACTTATATCTTATGCAATCAAATGCTGGAATCAATAAGCCAGTCCGTAAGCTACATACATACGGGGTAGACATGAACATCATGTAAGTTGGAGGTTAAGAAGACATGAAAATTATTTAAACAGAAAAAGAACAGAGAAGAGAACAAAATGGACTCTGACAGGAATCAAATTTGGAACATGTACCGCTAAATAACGCCTATATACAAGCCGCTGAGAACGCCATTAGAAGGTAGAAGTATTAACATTTAAAAGCATTAAGACAAAGATTGTCTACCCGAATATAACCCTCTGATGCTCAGACATAACTAAATTGGTTATATCTACCAACCAAATGCTTCAAGGCGTACATCACATCCATCTACTATGTTTGTCATGTAATTAAACCCTATGTTACTCATGAATCAAGTGGTTAGAATGTTTGTTTTAACAATATAAGTAGAGAAGTTGCACGGACACAAACTGAGACAGCACTGCATGTTTTTAGCGGCCCCAACTTTTATTATCTGTTTTACACTTAAAATTATAATCCTTCCTATCCAATTCCAACCCTCACCACCTTCCATCCCCCTTCCCTTACTGC